CTATCACATTTGATCTAGTATGACATAATAAACTATATAAATAACATAAAACATGTTAAATACTCCAGAAGGAATAATATTCGGCATAATACCGAGCAGTTCGACGGAGGTATGAAGAGAATATGGCATACAAATACCATTCTCCTATCCCTGTCTTGGGGTCTTATATTAGAGAAAATGGAGTATACCACAGGGCTAACTGTCATATACACTCGTACTGCACCATAAACCTGAAACAAAAGTTATTTTCTCTATATAGAGTATGACACATAGCAGCATATGTGTAGAGAACCTAGGATAACCCAAAAAAGTCAACATGGCTTATTTTTAGTACCTGGCTTGGGTTAGCCATATATGATTCTTGGTAAATATTCGATTCCCAGCCAGGGTAGAAACATTAGGCGTGTTTCTTTACACCTGTTGTCTATGTTTACCCATCAGTAAATGGGTACCTGGGTGTTATCCTGGGACACTGACCTAATTTTCTTGAAATACTCAGCATAACAAGCGGCTTTCTATACAGTAGTATGTCACTGATGTCAGCTAGGCCTGTATACCTTGTACATGTACGTATAGTAAATAAAGATATTATTATTATTATTATTATATTATTATTTTCTCAGTTGTTTGTTGGGTTATCTTATTCAAACTTGGGCAATGTATGATGGAAAGATACTTCTTAATGTAGACCAAAAATGAAAGGAATCAGACCATAAATAGCGGAGTTCACTTCTCAGCCATTAGCGGCTGCTTAGCGGTATATTTTTGTATGTTTTTATGGTTATATTCTCATTTTTTCGGTCTCATTTGATAGAATGAAAGATATATTACAGAAATAGATATGATTTTGATTGCTTTCATGATGAAAAGTACCTTGAAATTGCGCTCACAGTAGCGAAAATGTTCTATTCTTTAGCGAAGCTCAGGAGTAAACAAATGACGTCACCGACCAATACGGAGTCAAGAATGGGTTGACATTATTTACACAGTTATTACAATAATGCAGTAGTCTGCATAACAGTAAATCGTCTATTTTTTTGTCAATAAAAATTCCAAATGGTAAGCAAGAGTAATATAAGAGGGGCCTGTAGCCGTGACTAATGAACAGAGAAAATGTAAAGTAAAAGGACACAAGTGCAACTAATGTGACATTTATTGTGGCAACGTTTCGCTCTCCAGGAGCTTTATCAAGCCATTAGTAATGGCTTGATAAAGCTCCTGGAGAGGAAAACGTTGCCACAATAAATGTCACATTAGTTGCACTTGTGTCCGTTTACTTTACATATTGTCGGTAATTCTACCAACTTTATTACAACAGAGAAAATGTTATTTTAGTGCCAGGAATGTCTGCATTGTTTATTCTGCCTGCCTACCTACCTACCTACCTTTCTTTCTTCATTCTTTCCTTCCTTTCTTCCTTCTGGTTTCTATAATATATATACACATATATAGTCACTGGACACTTTCATAAAACTGCTATTATCTTCAGGGAATGAGTTAGTGATAAGATAAGATAAGATAAGATTTCGTTCGGATTTTTAACCCCGGAGGGTTAGCCACCCAGGATAACCCAAGAAAGTCAGTGCGTCATCGAGGACTGTCTAACTTATTTCCATTGGGGTCCTTAATCTTGTCCCCCAGGATGCGACCCACACCAGTCAACTAACACCCAGGTACCTATTTGCTGCTAGGTGAACAGGACAACAGGTGTAAGGAAACGTGTCGAAATGTTTCCACCCGCTGGGAATCGAACCCGGGCCCTCCGTGTGTGAAGCGGGAGCTTTAGCCACCAGGCTAAAGAGTGTGAGTGCGAGTGTGTGTGTGGGGGGAAGACTTCTAAATGTGCTGAGTCAGGGTCTACCAGCTGTCAAAATGACATATACCATTACTCACTCCCCCTATCCCCTGTCAACACAATGGGGTCCGATGCTTCCTTCCTCACCATACTTCCTTATCTAATTATCTTTTTTTCTTTCTCCTTTCTCCTTCTTTTTCTTTTTCTCTTTATTTCTAATTCTTTCTCCTTCTTTCTCTTTCTTTCTATTTCTCTTTCTCTTTCTTTTTCTTTCTCGTTTTTTTTTTTCACAGAGTTTGATGAAGTTAGGTTAAGGATCCCTAGCTTTATTGACAAACTAAGAGCTGTTACCTACATCAGCTCATTTGAAAGCATTTTTATTGTGATGAGACATACAAGTAGGGAACAGGATGAAGTTGGAACCATCTGTGGACCAGCATTTTCAATTGATCAACTGACTTTATCTCATTGACATCATAATGCTGTATGAATGTGTTCCATACTCGAGTCATCCTGGGGATAAATGATCTCAGATGAAGTGATGTTCTGGAGAAGGGTACAGCCAGAGTGAAGTTGCTGCTTTCTGCCCACCTTGTGGTATAGAAGCTTGCTTCATGCTGTCCTCGAAGTGGATCCAAGTGTGGTACTTTGACAATACTGGCCTTGTACATAACAATAAGGCCACTTGCATCCCTTCTGTGTTGAAGGCTCTGCTGAAATGACAGATCTATCCAGGATTGGTCCAGGCGAAAGATGAGATGTCTTGCTCTGTTCTCTACTCTGTCAAGCAGTCGCAGATGAGAGGGGGGGGGCAGGAAAACCAAGAAAGTGGAGCATATTCAAGGTGTGAGCATACTTGTGCCTCATACAAAATCTTGCAACCCCTACTATCAAGCAGATGCGAGATGCGGCGAAGTGCTGTAAGTTTCCTGGCTGTCTTGTTTGCAAGATTTACAACGTGGTTCTTCATGGTCAGTTTGGAGTCAAATTTCACCCCAAGGATATCAACTTCTTCCCCTTTCTTTCTTTCTTCTGGTTTACTGGGCATTGCTTTAGGTCACAAACTCCTCAAAACCATGAAAGTCATCTTCACTGACACTTCCATCTGTGTTAGAGTGATCACTTGGGAAGAGAAGAGGCCCAGATTCACCAGGGAATCACTAGACATGCTGAACAAGGACTACTGAAATGGCATTCCCACAATGCACCACTGGCTCCTCAGTTTTTTTTATAGTGCGCACACTGACCATGGAGACCCATTCTCTCACATATGGGCCTACCAGCTTTTTCCTGCTTGATTTGAAGCCTCTAGAATTTACGCATATTAATACATCGGCAACAATGGCTTGTAAGACATATACACTGTATATATATATGGCCAAAACAGTCAAAGGTTAATTAAGTCACAGACTAAAACATACGAGATAATAACAATATTTACTCTTGTCCAAATTTGCACACTATTGTAATATTGTCCGCAAAAGAAAACATAGTGCTATGATTTACATCTCTGTCTCTCCGATATGAAAATGAGGAACAGGATGGGGCAAGTACTGTGCCTTGTGGAACAGAGTTTTTCACATTACTCATTGGTTAGAAAGTAGAAGATCCATCTGCCCACTATTCCAGTAATTCCTTTATCACATATTTTGTGCGCTATCACACCATGATTGCAATTGTTGAAGGCATCCAAGATCATGTCATAGCTGTCCAGTAGTTGTAAGAGGGAGGAGCAACTTGTTCTAAACCCATGTTAACCTGGATTGTGGAACTGTTGTGAATCCAAGTGGTTGGCAATCATGCCTCTTAGAAGTCTTTCAAAGATTTTTATAATGTGGGATGTTAGTGCTACTGGTCTATAATTCTTTGCTATTATTTTGCTGCCATTTTTATGGAGAAGGGCTATATCCATTGTGTTGAGCAAATGTGGGATGACACCCGCGTCCATGCTCTCTCCATAGTATACTTGAGGCATGTTTAAGGGGTTTCATGCAGTTCTTTGATGAACATGGATTTCCATAAGTGTGGGCTTCTATAATGTGGGCATGGGGCAGAGTGCATGGGCATAGTGGCATGCTAAGATTATGCTGCATTTTATTCAGCATATGTCACACACCCGAATAGGCATGCCCTCCCAACCAGCAAACCAAATGCTAAGGGTATAATGGGTAGGGGCACCCTCGTTATGCTAGCACCTTGGTTCAACCAGCCAATGACACGGAAGCCCACCAAAGTTATGAAGCGATATGGTACACTTGTGAATCAACAATGGCAGACTTACCTCCAAGTCCAGTCTTTGACTGGACTTGGAGGTAAGTACTTGGAGGTATGTACTGAAAGGTAAAACTGCCTTTCTGTGCATACCTGTACATGCTTGATGTTTGGTGAAGGAAATACAGCGGTACCTTGGGATATGAATTTATTTTGTTCAAGAAGGCTCTTCGAGTGCCAATACCGAACAAATTTGTTCCCATAAGGAATTAATCCATTTCAAACCCCCAAAAATACTCTTACAAAAGCACTTACATAATTGTTCGAGTTTTGAGCTGTCCGTATCCAGAGGTACCACTGTATAAGTATTTACTCTCTGCTGCCTTTTTCTTGTTCCTCATTTCTAATTTAGCTATCCTGTTACAACTAGGTGTACAGGCCACTAGACTACACCTGTGTTCATAATAGTCATGTTGCCAGGCTTTTTCAAAGTCCACAAAGTTTTGGCAGCTTGGAGTATTAGGAGAAAAGGAGGAGGAGGGGGTGTGAGGTAGTCCACAAAGTAATTATGGCACTCCACTGTTATAATTATAATTAGTACACATGAAATGTTCTTACACAGTAAATACTGGTTGGTGTCTCACTTTGATTACTAAATTTTAAGTGAATTTGTTATGAATCATCTTTCATAGAATGTGGATGGTAATCAATACAACATGAAGAATTGAGGATTTTATCAATAAAACATGTGCTTATCAATCTTGGTTTAGGACACAAGGGTACATCATTAGATATTTAACTACTTAACAATATACAAAGATGCATATCAACACTGATCTCAAAATCATATGTAAAAAATTAATTTATTGTGAAGCAACTGAACTGCTGTTAATGCACCGGCCATCTCTCACCGAGGCAGGTGACCCGAAAAAAGAAAAAAACGAAAGTAAAATTTATTTACAATAAATTAGTTGTTGTCAAAGTTAAGCCTTACCTTGCTAGGCAGGCCTTATACACTGCAGTGTGCAGATCAAATGATGGATAAGCTTTAAAACACTTTGCTATCCTGATGATCTGCCTTAAAGAGAGTGATTCAGCTAATGACTGCAAGGCTGGGTCAGTGGAAACTGAGAGCTGAGATGCAAGTGTGATCAGCTGTTCTACTGGAGAACTGCAGTCTCCCACCTGATAACAAACAAAAAATCTTAAGGTTGCTTCATACAATAACAAATAATATACATGTATGACTAATTTTACTCTATTATAATTTAACAGTTTTTGCACCCATTACAGAAAGTCCGTCCTATGTTTGGTTGGGTCCAGCAACCTCCTAGAGTATACAATGCTCAACCTTTTGCACACTAACAGTAATACAGACTATAATGCTACAATTTCTGTATTTTAACTCCAGTACCTATGAGTAGGTAACCTGTCTTGAATTTAACAAGTCTTGTAGATATTTTTATTACTTAATTCCCAAAGGATTTCTGCGTCATATTAACATGTTCATATATGAGGGCAGTTCAGTTTTTGTGCCCATTAATTTTCTTGACAAAATACCATGTAGCCAAACTGAATATTGCTTTTTGGTTATACTTGTGGAAGTGACCAAAGAAAAATATTAAATATGGCTACAATATATTTTTGTCAAGAAAAAATAATGGAAACAATGACTTTCCTGTCTGCCCTCATAGTTTCTTATTCCTTCAAATAAATATATTTTTTAAGGAAAGTACTAATCCTTATGGGACCCCATTAATGGCATGTGCTCTTACCACTGTTTGTATTTTAATTTTGAATGGAAAATCTCACATATATTTTAACCCTTTAACTCTTTGAGGGTCCGTCCCGTAATTCTACGGCTTTGAAGCCTAGATATGAGAGAATACATCTATGTGGTAAGTGTGCACTACATAATACAAATCCTGCAGCACGCAGTGTATAATGAGAAAAAAAAATGCGACCGTATTTCTGGATTAAAACAGTGACTTTGTGGTGTTTTTTCATGTGTTTTTTAACTGTATTAATGGTTTCTTGGTCTCATTTGATAGAATGGAAGATTTATTATAGAAATAGAGATGATTTTGATTGGTTTTAATACTTGAATATGAGCTCAAATGTTCGATTTTTGTCGATGTTCAAGAGTAAACAAATGATGTCATACATCTAATACACATCAGCTGATGGGTCTAATGTGCGTTCATGAATGCGCTGATATTATTTATACAATTATTACAGTATTGCATAACAGTAAATCTTCTATTTTTTGGCCTGAATAAAAATTCATTATGTGAATAAAAAATCAAAATGGAATTCATTTGTAAAGCCTGGAAATGTAACTAATAAACAGAGGAAATGTTAGTTTAGTGCCAGAAATGCCTGCATTGTTGATTCTGGACCCTATTTTGAAATTGAAATATTTTGAACTTTGTGTTAAAGTGGCTAAATTACCAATTTCCAATCAATTTATTGGGTAGTTGAAACAGTTGACTGGGTAATTTCTTGTGCTCAATTGATAAATTAGAAGTAATACTAGTGAAATAGCTAAGAATTTGGTCGACTGGAACAATGTAAATGGCCTAAAGTGGTAGTCAAATTCAGCAAAATCGCCGATAAGTAAATATCGCTGATGCAGCAAAATTTGCAAGAGCATAATTTTGCCAATTTTTTTCAAATTTCATACTTTTTGTTTCATTACCTTCAGAAAAAGAATCTCTACCATTTCATAAGAAAAAATAATTTTTTTTTTTTAAATTCTTTGACCCTGTTATGGCTTTTAACTAATACAGCAATAAAGGAATGGAACAGACTGCCCGCACATGTCAAAGCCAGTCATAGCATGAACCAGTTCAAGAAGAGTGCCAAAAGGTGTCTGATGAATGTAGCTACAGAAAGGGAGGGGAATGATTTTCTATTTTTTAGCCAACATACGTGTAAATTTTTCCATATTCCTAGTAATGACCCTCGTATTGTAGATAGTCTTAATGACCTTGGTGTAGTAGATAGGCTTTTTAGTATGATAATAAGATGTTATCTTCATTGTAGAATAATAAGAAAATATTATAACCTTTATATTATAATAATAAGGTAAAAGGACCCCAATGGAAATAAGTCACTCTGTCTGACTTTTTTGGGTTATCCTAGGTTCTCTACACATATGCTGCTATGTATGATAATTCTATGTAACTGTATTTGTGTATACCTGAATAAACTTACTTACTTACTTACTTACTTAATACTAGTAGGTTAGTAGTATAGTTCTTGTTTCCTGGTATAGTGGCATAACAAATTCTGGCAAAGAGTTGGGGATAGAAACTAAAGATCCACTAAAAACCTAACTTTTAATGAAAGAAATTCATTAGCAAATATGTATTTCTGTACATATTCAAGGTTTTCTATAACAAGGAGCATATTATTCCGTGAATCCTTAAATAATAATTATTCCTTTATACAATCTTCTTTATTCTTGTCAAATAACAAGCGGTCATAGAGCCATCTTACAAAAGCTGTAATATATATACAGTAGGGACCCGCTTTATGGCATTTCGCTTTACGGCGTTCCGCTAATACGGTCATTTCAAATTATGACCAAAACTCATTATACGGCTCCCCCCACCTGACTTCCTAATACGGTCACCATGCCCCACCCAGTTTGTTTACATTCTCTGTGAGATCCAAGCACTAAGTCTCTCCATTATGTCTGGAAACAACAAAATTTCCAGTGTTTTTAAAAGTTATTTCATATTTTATATATCCCTGATAGTTATACTTATGTATACCTTTACCTAAATAAACTTACGTACTGTGCTGGTGTGCAGGTACACATTAAAATCAGTAAGAGTGTCTTATATCTCGAGACGTCATATTAGTAATGATGATAATAATCATTGAGTCTCATTAGTCGTATATTACATTAATATACATATTTTCATTAATCCATCTATGATATTTTTTCAAAATTATATAATAAACACGATGCATAACATATAAAGATGATAAATACACCCCACAGTAGAATAAATAAACATAAATATGAGATGTGGTAGCAGACGACTTGCACAAATGATGCCATATTAAAAATGATAATAATAATCACCGAGTCTCATTAAATGTTGTATATTACATTAATATACACATTTTCATTAATCCATCCATGATATTTTTTCAAAATTATATAATAAACATGATACATAACATATAAAGATGATAAATACACCCCACAATAGAATAAATAAACATAAACATGAGATGTGGTTGCCAGATAACTTGTACAAGTGATGGCAAGAATAACATTTTCTCTAGTCTAACGTAAGAGAAAATGTGTTACTGGGGGTAACTGTAGAAAATTATTCCTTTTGTATGTATGTAAGTTTATTCAGGTATTCAAATTCAAATTCAAAGTTTATTCTCTATAAGGATTACAATGCTGAGTTTACAGAAATTTGGTTATTGTGTGGTTTACATGTAGTAAAATAGTGATTACAGAGTGTACCACTAAAACGCTTAGCATGGCTAGGCATTTCGGGCAGACTTAGTTTTATTCTTAATTGTAAAATATTACAAATTATGAGGTAAGTTGGTATTATGGCTAAGTGACTAAATACTAGTTTGTGAGTTTAGCAATGTGAATGCTTTTGTTTTGGCACAGTACATAGATTCAGTATTGGAGTATCACAGGATTCATTAATTTAATATTGAGATTAATATTTCTGTTTATGGTCAAATGAGTCAGTGAGTGTAAGTGTGAACCACCAGGTGGTATTCGTGTAGTTAGTTGACGGGGTGTATCAGGGAGATAAGATGTTTTCTAATGGTAGTTTTGAAGGTGATGAATGTGTCTGCAGTTCTAGAGTTCTCAGGTAGGGTATTCCAAATTTTAGGGCCTTTGACATACATTGAATTTTTGTAAAGGTTTAGTCGGACACGGGGAATGTCGTAGAGATGTTTGTGTCTGGTGTTAAGCCTGTGGGTTCTGTCACAACTATCAAGAAAGCGTTTTAGGTCAAGGTTGATATTAGAGTTTAAGGCCCTGTAGATGTAGATTGCACAGTAGTAAGTGTGGATGTACTGAACAGGGAGTAAGTTTAGGTCTATGAAGAGTGGGGATGGGATTTAGTGATTATTCTTACTGCAGCTTTTTGTTGGGTTATTATTGGCTTTAGGTGTGTTGCTGCAGTTGATCCCCAAGCACAAATAGCATAGGTGAGGTATGGATAAATAAGTGAGTGGTATAGTGTGAGAAGGGCATTTTGCGGCACGTAGTATCTTATCTTGGAGAGGATCCCAACCGTTTTGGATACTTTTTTGGTTATATGCTGGATATGGGTGCTGAAATTCAGGTTGTTGTCAAGGTATAAGCCTAGGAATTTGCCCCCATTATTTCTGGTAATTAGAGTGTTGTCAATCTTAATGTTAATTTGTGCATCTCCTGCTCTGCTACCAAACATAATATAGTAGGTTTTGTCAGTGTTAAGCGTAAGTTTATTGGCTGTCATCCAAGTCGATATTTTGATCAGCTCCTCATTAACAGTGGTGTTGAGGGTGGCAAAATTAGGGTGAGAGATGACATAAGTCGTGTCGTCAGCAAGAGATTGGGTTTCGGTGTTGGGATACGTTTGGAAGGTCATTGATGTATATGAGGAAGAGCAGGGGACCAAGGACACTTCCCTGCAGAACTCCAGTATCAAGTGGCCGTGTTGCTGATGCTGTGTCTTTAATGGTGACATACTGATACCTATTAGTAATGTAAGATTTGAAATAAGCAAGCGCATGGCCTCTTATACCATAATGATCAAGTTTGTGGAGTAGGATGTCGTGGTCTACTGTGTCAAAAGCTTTTCTTAGGTCAATAAAAATTCCTAGTGGATATTCCTTATTTTCCAATGCTGTGTAAAGCAGATCTAGCATTTTTATGATTGCATCATTAGTGCTTTTATTTTTCCTGAATCCAAATTGGCAGGGGTTGAGTATGTTTTGAACTGTTATAAATGAATACAGTCTCCTGTGCACGAGTTTCTCAAAGATTTTGGATAGCAATGGTAAGTTAGATATTGGCCTATAGTTGTTTAAGTCTGTAGGGTCACCACCTTTGTGTATTCGTGTAACCCTTGCCATCTTGAGTAGTTTCGGGAAGGTGCTAGTCTCTAGTGACTTGTTAAAGAGTAATGAAATAGCATGCGAAAGGA